GATTTTGTCAGGAACAGATCTATGATAAATGCCGTATTTGTACCTGAAGGCTCCAGAAGCCGGTCTACATCAAGAAACTGCTCTGCGACGGAGAAAGCATTTTCACAACAATCGATGGGTGTCTTGTCCAGTTGGTCACTGTAGTCAAACAGGTGAGGTCTAGAAAAACACGAAGAAGAATGAAGTGAATCAATGTACAGGCAACAATGACAAATTAAAAATGACTTCAGATCTGGTGACGGTATGTTAAAATCTCTGTTTACTCACATGTTTACTAGCATGTAATTAACTGTATTCTCCCTCTGTATTGAATATTGAAGAAGTACATTCCCTAGCTTAGCTCTCTGTAGTCAAAGCTGTGGTTTGTTAACAATCTTCTCTTACCTGTTTCTATGATATCTATTATTTGTCTATTAGTTTATTTTGGTGGGTATAGTGGTGTTTGTTGTTACTTTTGTTGCGTTAAGTAGTTGTAATTTTTGTTCGTATACTCGTTGTTGTATCAATGAAGTTATGCATTGCTGTCGTTGTTGTTGTTGTTGTTGTTGTTGTTGTTGCAGTTGTTGTTGTTGTTATTGTAGGTGTTGCTGATGTAGTTACTGGCTAAGAGCCAATAGAAGTAAAATGCACAACAGTATTATATTACAGAACCAGTGCAAGTTACCTGTATCTATGGATCAAAGCATTGAATGCCAGTCCGTCTCTCCAGCTGGTGGTAAAGTTCTTGACCTCCACTCCATCATACCTGAAATAAAATGTACATGATGACTTCACGATATTCACTGTACCATTTGCCATGATTACCGTGACACTTTTCAAACACCAAATAGTGACAATTATGTTACTACACTCTTTGGCCTCTCTTTGGTCTTGAAAAAGAGGCTCTTTAGTCCTAAATGCAAAATCCATTGTGTCCTAAATTTAAAACACATTATTATAAACACAATTGTCCTAACGCATAAATCGTGCTTTGAGAATGCCACATTACATCATGAAAATATTCCTCAGGTGGTATTTTCTTTGTTCAGTCTTTTCAACTTGTTTGCGTTATAATCCGCTGATTGATATTTTCAAGAGACAGGGCTCGAAAAAAGTGCCGTCCGGTCCTCCCGGACAAGTAGATTTTCCTGTTGGGCAAGCAACTATTGATTCTCACTTGCCCAACGGCCAAGGTCCCAGGCAAGTCGTATGTTGCCTAAATAAAAAACAAATAGTTAACTAAGACTTGCCCCGGGCAAGCAAAATTTGAGAGCTGCTTGTCCGAAGGGCAAGCTAGAAGTCAAGTTCTTTTTTTTTTTTCGAGCCCTGAAGAGAACTTAGGATCTGTGTTCTGTACAGCAATGGATCTCTAATATTTAACGTTGAGAATTGAAGATGTAATCATAAATGAAAAGTTAATTCACCCTCTGACTGACTGTCGACACCAAGCCAACAGTTTTTCTTCTGGTGTGTCCGTATCAGAATCCAACATCAGATTCTTCAGCAGCAGTTGCAACTAAGGAACAAAGAGAACAAAATGTTCATCATTGTACAATACCTAACACTTAATGGCTGGTCCCAAGGGGAACAGTGAATTTTGTTTCCCGAGAATCTCAATGTTTCCCGAGACGAAGTCGACGTGTAACAGGGGTCAACATTTCGCGGGTAACAGTGAACTGTTTCCCTTTCAACGTCATAGTTTTCGCAATGTTGCCCGCTCATAGAATTTGGCGGGAAACAGCTTCATTGTTAGATGTCATGTGGCCATGAACTAGCCAATGAATGGGCGCGCTGTAGCGGGAAAAATGCCAGCTAAGTAACAATGGCAACTACTTTGCAGCTAAGTGTTACAGTGCGTCTACTGAAACCGGGGCCACCCAGACAATGAAAACCAATCAGATGGTAGAACTGAGTTTTCGATTAGTACTTTTGCGTGCTTGCCAGGTTTAAGAAGAATTATCTGCTGCATTTTCTATGGGGTCGTTGGTTGGTTTAGAAATTGTTGTGTTATTCTAATTATGATTTGAAATTTACAAGCGTGACAAACTCATTGGATTGACCGTTTTCCACTGTGAACGTGCGGCCACACAAAATATTATCTTTACAGTTGTTGTTCAAAATCGTACAATAATAGATTTTCAGTTCACCCAAAGCTATTTACGAAAATTATTGGACGAAGCTTGGGATGAGAATAGGGAGTTAACGTAACCACAACGGCGACGCCGAGGACAACGTCGATTAAAAAAATGAATTTATATTTTCCCTACGAATCACGCAATACTCTTAGTCATTTACTATGTTTATCACTTTCATAACTATCACAAAATTAAATCTGGAACACAGCGATAAATTTGAAATAGAAAACTAAAAAATTAGATTTATAACGCACGTGCATAGCCATTGTTCTGCTCAGTAAATCTTTTGTTTAGCGACGTTCCCGCTGCCGTTGCCGTCGTGTTTTTCTTAAACTCCCTAATAACAAACCCACAACCCGACAGGGCTTAGCTTTGGTAATCGGACAAGACGCGGTACTGTCCTTAAGGTAACATTTCAGACAAGGATGATTTCTTGAATGTTTTCCACGTTATCACATCTCCCTATGTTTTCTGTTACCGTTTTGCGCTATTTCTTAACGATGCCAGTGCGTTTTTGATGATGATTTACAGTATGGCCTAATTTATGGATTCAAAACTCGGTGCAGTGGCCTCGAAATTGCGCTGTTTACAGGCAATTTATTTTCCACGTTCAAGGTCTAATAGCCACTTTGAATCAATTTTCAAATCGCATCTCGTTTTTAAGGCCACGAGGTTCAATCAGACGACAGAAGTTGTCTTTTTAAGCCAGTATTATTTAAGAAACAGAAAATATCCACATGTATGGCGATCCTTATAGGAATTAAGAACAGGTTTGAAGAAAGAGTTGAGCTGAGCAAGCATCATCGACCCACGGAAAAACGAGCTTCTTTGAAGGGCGGAAAAAATCTCTCCAACAGGAGAGTTAGGATGGAGACGACAGTTTCGGAAAAATTAAAAAGCATTCGAATATCGTGGGAATTTGGAGAAAACATACAGAACAGGAATGAGATCTATGAAAGAGAGAGGAAATTAATGGCTTCCTGAGAGCCAAGTTGATTATTTTCCCTTGAAGCATAATTTTTGATTGTATTCAGACAGATGAAGGCGTTAATTGGTGAGAAATAAAATCAACGGTGACATTTGTTCTCGTATTATATCAGAGAGTGAAATTTAATGTAGTCAGACTAGCTTAATCGACTTCTCTTTACTTAATTGTCTTCTAAACTATTTAATATCTACTTTAAGTTGTATAATCTTATTCGTTGTTTAGACTTAACCGATCTAAATAACTACTTGAACCACACTCTTATTATAAGAATATTGTTTTTCCGGCCAAGGCTGAATATTCTTATTTTTCTGCCGATTTCAAGCTGAAAATATGCTTGTGAATATTCTTGGATTATAGCGTATGATATCTCTGTTTTCGAATGTATTTGGCATCTGAATGGCGTTAAAGTAATTTTAGAGCGAACCTGCAGGAACTAAAGCCTGATATGAGGCACATAACCTCTGGCAGAAATATTATTAGCATCGAACATACGGCTAGTGCTGTTTTTGTAGCTTTTTGGCCAGTTTTGCCATTTAGAGAAAGGAAGAATTTTATATGGTTTAGTTAAAAACATAATTGTATTGTATTTAAAAATTTTCAACACTCCGCAAAATCTCAGCCTCAGCCTCAGGTTTATGCTTAAAATATTTTTAAAATTTCGCAAATTTCAGCCTCGATATTCTTATAAAACAAATTCTTAACAAAAAAGAGCGTGTGAAGGAAAGCTGTATTAAATTCGCAATATCACAAGAATTTTTGCCTCATTCTACTCAAAAATTGGCACGCAATGCGTGCATGCTTAGATACATCTCCGCAGCAGTAATTTCCTTTGTTGTCGAAACACATTATCGCATTATATTGGTGGATAGTTTGGAGAAAATATATTCTCATATTGAGCGGAGTCGCGCGGCGACCCGGCTTAAAGATAAAGATAACTTTGAACTTGAAGATGACTAGTTCCTTGAGTATGGCTTTTTCTTCATCTTACTGTCGCACCGCTTTCAACTTGGATTCCTGGCGCTGGTGTAATAGTGATTTTTGGTTGGTGAACATTGACAGTCGTTTCGTTTGTTGAAGGCGTCGGAACTGACATACATCTTTCTCGTCTCACTTGTCCATCAGCCGTCCCGACATCATTGCTTGCTAGGTTTGCCAAGGTTTTTGATCTTGATCTTGGCACGACGTAGGGACTTTGAAGGTTCTCCAACGTCTGGGCAGAGCCAATTCGTCTGTTCTTTCTCTGGGCACTGGCTGCGGGCTTTTTCATCTTTAACATCTGCAAAAATGCGTCTCTGAAGCGGCGATCCCTATAGCAATAAAGAATAGGGTTGAAGAGAGAGTAGAGCTGAGCCAGCATCATTGACCAACGGAAAAACGAGCTTCTGCGGAGTGCGTGAAAAATCTCTCCGAAGAGTAGGAAGGCTAGCGACGGAATGAATGCAATTAACAGGACCGCTGTCAGCATGGCTGTCGTTTTGGCACATTTTGTAGCCAACTTAGTCCTGATCAGACAACGGATCTCCCTGATTTTCTCGATTTCCCATTTGCGCACACCGAGATAAACCTGCAGGTACAAGTAGCCGATAAGTGCCATGCACACAGTTCCCGGGAGAACGCAAGCTATGTCGACGGCTAGAAGATACTTGTAGTCGACGTCAGCGATTTTCATGATGCTTGGTGTAATGGGTACCAAGGCGGCCAACAGCCAAGCAATCCTTGCAAACTTCTTAACACGGCCTCTGGTAACGATGACTTTGTAATCTGCCCACTTTCGTATCGCCACGTACCTCTCCCAAGCAATTACGGTGAGATGATACACAGACGAGCAGCTGCCGATATACAACACCATGTCGCTCACGAAAGCTATTCCACAAAAAACACCCGCGTTCAAAAACTTGGCAAGAACTAACACATCTGAAGTGATGGTCAACGGCATGGAGACAGCGCCCACTAAGACATTAGCTACAGCCATGCTTGCCATCAGAATGTTAGAGTTGTTTTTTCGCAAGTCTCTTCTCTTTTTTACTGACAAGATCACTAAGATGTTGAGAAGAATGGTAACAGGACAAATGACGATTGTAGTCGCTGCGGTTATCTTGAACAAGGTCGTGTCGCTTATAACCCATACTTGTATTGGTGGGCAGAATAGCTCAGACAGCACTTGGCTTGCAGCGCTGGCAGCTAGATCTGTTCTGTTAGGGTTCATTCTACTGCAGTATCACTTGGCACGAAAGACAAAAATAGATCGACGGATACAAATGACCTTCACCAAAAACTGAGTACTCACTCAGGAGAGGGATTTCGACTTCACGGCCATCTCTCATCGCTAGTTAGAGCCCCACGTCTAGCGTGGTCTAAAATGCCAGGCCAACTGACGAACGCGTTCTTAACCGTCCAATTTGTTTTGGGCAGATGTTTGTGAATGTATCGCTCTAGCACAGCTCTGTTTTGTTTTACAAATGAACGGAAGCGGGGATGACGGAGCTTCTGAATAAGAAAGCTATACCTTTTCAAAAAGAAGAACACATTTGATGTGCGCATATCAAACGAGAAGAAATTTCCTTTTATGATCGGTCTGCAACATAAACTAAGGCCAAGAGACAGAAACAAGGAATAAATTAAAAGCATGCAACCTACGTTTGCAAATTGAAAAGAAGTGCCTGGTCTCAAGTCATTTCAAACAGTTCAACTTTCCAGGCAATGTCACCAAGACATGAAATTTCCCTTGTAAAATAAGCTTTTTTTGGATGTTATTATATTTTCTTCAGTTTAAAAAGGTAATGCTATGTATTGCTATGGAAATACCTTGATAAATTTTTGTTGTTGTTGTTATATTAAAAGAGAAGAACTGCACAATTTGCTCGATCGACAAAACGTTTCAGAGAGAAATCACACTCAAAACATTAAAAAACCTGTTGGATATGATCGGATAACGCGGGAATTTTTTTAATTTACAGAACAGAAATGAAGTCTTTGAAAGAGATCGAGAGGATATTAATGAATCCATGAGAGGCAAGTTATTCAAGTGAATGGATTGTTTTCCCTTGAAAATTTGTTCATTGCAAAATTTTTGATTGTATTCAGACAGATGAAGGCGTTAATTGGTGAGAACTAAAATCAGCGGTGACAACTGCTCTCGTATCAAATTCAATGGGAAATGAAGTTTGAAACCATCAGACTAAAATCTAAGAAAGAGACAATCGACTTTTCTAAATGCAACTGTTTGCTAATCGATTTAATATGTCCACGGACTCTCTCAAACATCATCAATGCTCGAGTGAAAATATACCACGAAAACAACGTCATGTGGGAAGGTCTCGAAGTGTGACAGTTCGTCAACATGTTGAGTAATAAATCTGTTCTTTTCTTTCTCACAGGAAGGACTTTATCCAATCTGTTTGAAAGGTGGAAGACAGGAGGGTCAACAGCCGTATCGCCCACATCAATGTATGAGGTCTGCCTTAGGGATTGGGTGTAGCGGGGGGAATAATCGCTACTCCTGCAACGATGCCCCCTCCCCCCCCAAAAAAAAAATCGCATTAAATGATAACCGTGTAAAAATAGAAATACGCACTGACAACAGGGGCGAAAATTTTTTTGTCAAAAATGTCAAATCTATTATTCTACGACTTTGAACAACAACAGTAAAGATGATATTTTGTGTGGCCATACTTTCACAATGAAAAACAATCAATCTAATGCGTTTATCACGCTTGTAAATCTAATATCCAAAGTAAAGAAACACAACATTTTCTAAACCAACCAGCAACCCCATAGAAAGCGCAGCTTATAATTCTTCTTAAACCCACAAGCCCAGGGGGGGAGGACGGACGGATGGACAGGGGTGCTCGTCGTCGTACCTTTTGGGCTAGCTTAACAAAGCGGTTTCGGTAGCCTGGAAAGGTCCACAGCAGGGGCTTTTGTGGTACCTTTTAGGGTAATGGGAAGCGCGTTGGCCTCATGGTTAGTGCGCTCGTCTCCGGATCGAGCGGTCCGGGTTTGAGCCCTGGCCGGGGACATTGTNGGTAACCCTGCGATGGACTAGCATCCCATCCAGGGGGGAGTAGAAATACTCCTAGTCGCTTCATGCTACAGAAACCGGGATAAGCTCCGGCCTGATGGGCCACTTGGCTCGCATGCAGACTTTACCTTTACCTTAGGGTATTGAGCCGACAAAAAAAAGCAGATCATGTGTTGTCTTAGAATTGGTACCTCTTAGGCGGTAAAAAATTTCAAGCCACGCCCTCAAAGCAGGATCTTGCCACCCCTTAGGGGTTCTTTTCAAAATTTCCAACAAGTGCCCCCGTCCCTTTCACATGGGAGTCCCCCCAGGCCCGCAAGTATGCAAAAGCACTATTGGTTTGAGTTTGACAATTCATTAACCAACACCGTAATCATGTCAGCATCACCAGTCAACAAACAAATTGAGATTCCATTGTTTTGTAACGGACATGTGATTCACTGGATTTATCAATGTTGGAAATCTATTGTTTCAGTTTTGCCATCTGATTGGTTTTCATTGTCTGGGTGACCCCAGGTTCAGTAAACGCACTGTAAATTACATATTACACACATTGAGTTACTTTAAAATAATGCCCTCTTCCTCTTGGTAATCTTACATTGTGTATCTCTACCATAATTTCCAGCTGTTTAACTGACAGACACCATCACCTGCCGAATTTTGAACTGTAAATTGAAAAAGTACAGAAGAGCTGTTCACATTGATCCCTTCAGTTACATACCTGGAAATGTGAAATGATATACCACATCAGACCCAAAGTCAATTTAGGGTTTCCGTCAACAATGTCATCATTGCTGATGTTCACAGGTCGTACCTGAAAGAATGACAAATATGTCATTTTTTTAGACATGTATGGCTAGCTCAACGAGTGGGCAAGATGAACCAAATCCTACACCGTAATTGGCTACCTGAGCAGACAAGATAGCGCTATCTTGCCCACTCGGGACTACTCAAAGTGTCCCACAGGAAAATTTCCCCCACAAGAACAAAGCTTGTTTGGTCAAGATGGCTGGATTTTAACCTCCTTCTTTTTCTTGTGAGTTTGTGGATCTTGACTCCATCTCAGTCCATAACCACTTGAAGAAAGAACTTGACCAATATCCAGACATCTTGACCTCATGCTTGGTCAATGAACCATAAACACTGTGTATGTTCTAGACAAGACTAAGGAAAATCAGTCCTTTGACAAAATTATTGTAAAATAATGTTCAGCACAAGTACTTACGTTGTTTTCTTCCAAAATTCTGAGAGCGTTGTCCACATTGGTCATGAAGTGAACACGAGTACGACCTCTTTCACTTCTCTGAAGAAGAAGAAACATGTACAACACCCCATCAGTTTGTCACTAAAAAGATCTTTTCTCCTGAAGTACTGATTCACAGGTTCTACAAAGCACCACTGAGTGAGCATTTAGCTTATCCAACAGGCAATTATCATTTGACTACAAGTCTAGAATCCTTCACATTTTCATGCTAATTGGCACAACTGTCACTCAAATCCCAGTGTGGTTTGAAAATTTCAATAACAAAGGACAAACAATACAAATTCTGTAGTCAAATGTGCTATTCAGCCAAACGTAAACAACTTAACAGAGTTTCAGTACAAATTTTAAAACTCATTAAAACTCTTTTTTCTGTTAGTTTTGTTGTTTTTTTTTTTTTGTTTGTTTTTTTTTTCTGTTTTTGCTTGTTTGTTTTTATTCAATTACTTAATATTTTGGCAAAAAAAATCATTCAATTCCTAAACTTTATAAAAAACGTCTTGATAATTAGAGCAAAACAGTTTATGGTTTAGTTATGTTGTCTACTGAGGGGGGAAATCTGTCAAGGAAACTTGGCAAAGGGTCCAGATTATCATATGGCAAGATACAGTAGTCTCCTGGTCAATCCGAGCATTCTGCTTGGTTCTTTCTTGGTTGGGATTTTGCCATATGGACCATTTCTCTGGGAAAGGTCATGAGCTGTGTCATTTTTGTTTTCAAAAGCCAGCAAATCAAAAAAACAACCATGATCTGAGTGCCTGTCAATAAACTACTTACTAACCTTCAAGTAGCTTGCTCAAGCCATACTGGGAAATATTAGCCCTCAATCATTTTTGTACAGACCTCTCTGTGTCCATACTGCCACAACCTAGGGCCAATATTCCCCAGTATGGCCCTCGTGCTTAGCTAGTAAAAGGTTAATTCTTGCAATGGACTAGCATCCCATCCGTGTACAATACAAAAACTCCTTGATACTTCATGCATTAAAAACTGGGATAAGTACCAGAAAGGGTAGCAAGACTTAAGAAAATGTCTGAGACTCACAATCCTCTTTCCACATAGAATCTCCAGAAGCAGCAAGAGTTTGGTTCCATCCTTCAGATCTTCAAACAAATCTTTGACTTGCTGACCAGTACCAGCCTACAGAAACAGAGGGAGGCCAAAAAGAAAGTTACTGGTGAAAAGTCAGAGTCAACAAAGGCTGAACATGGAGTTGAAGTAGCCCCCAAGTTCAAGGCAAGTGTAATCATGAGTATTAAGGGTGAGAAATACCTTTGGGAGGCAATACAAAACAGTAACATCAGTATTAGAAAACAAAGAACAATTTAATATGGTACTTCTACGATGACATATTATGCATTAATTAACCGTAATTGCAACTGTAACTATAACTGTTCTAAAGCTCTTGGTATAAACAATTCCCAGATATTGAAGGTAAAAGAGAATTTTTTGAGAAGGCAATAGCAATAACAAAGAGGCCCTGTTCATTCTGGGATCTACATATAAGAATTATAATTGCACACTTATTGAAGAGATAGTACTCTACAAGGCTGGGCGCAAAGGGCAGTTCAGATCTTGCGTATCATGATCTACAAATAAATACTGTACATGTAAGTCACAACAACCATAGACAAGCATTTTGACACAACAGTCGAAAGCTTTGTCTGCATGTTTGAAGAACATTTTGATTGAGAAGTTGCACATTTTGCAGCAACGAACATTTTGACTCAGATCAACAGTCAAATGTTTTGCTAGAATAGGCAAACAATCTTTCAATTCTAAAGCCCCAGCCAAACAATTGCAACATTTCAAAGCAACATATCACAACATGCCACAAGGCATGTTTGGCCTTCTTATTGCAACAAGCCCCCACTCTCCCCCCCCCCCCTCCCCTCCCGTTAGATCAAGTCTGGATCTGCCACTGTAATGCAATCTCTCATCACATTATGCCAGTCCCATTTGCTGATCTTTTACTTGTCAGAAATGTCTGTGCAAATGAGACTGGTTTGAAAGAAGAAAGTTGTACTTATGCAGTGTGTAAAACTAGGAACATGTAGTTGTTCGACTACTTGTAATGTGAATTGAAGGCCCCTTTAGAGCTACTGGCTTTCAAAAACAGATGTTTAATCAACCAAGACAAGAAGGAAAATAGTCAAGAGACAAAAAATGAGAATGCCACAAAAAATAAAATTTTACATGAACTATTGATAACCTTTGCTAGTTGTGCATTTATCCACTTTGTAAATGTTTTCTTCTGTGTCCCCTCATGTTCATCTGCGAAACCAGAGAAAGAAACCAATATGAGCATGTGAAATGCAATCATTATATTGTATCTCTGGTAAATTCATCCTTTCTAAATTAATATTACCCCTCAAAAACAATAGGGAAAAGTGAAAGCTGGATTGCATGTTATAAAGTGTAACTGAAGATGCTGTTTGCCCTATGATTGGTCAATAAGATACCTGTTGACTTTTGTATAATGCTCAATGGTACACAGATTGTATTCCATTACCAAAAGACCACACAGTGAGTAACCATGTGGCACTACACCATCTTGAATGTCAGGAAGACAACTGAAAGCTTGGATCTATGACTATTAAATAGGCTCCCTTTTACAGAGTTGCCTGAGCTGCACTGCTTTAAAAGTAATGCAGGGCATATTAATCCTTTAATCTTCTCTTACAAACAACTTCCAGCCTTATGATAAACTTAACAGATTTGAGGTCATGGGAATCAAGCACCTGACGGAGAACACGCAGGGTGATCACCCTGAGAAAACATTTTGTATTGTCATAGAACCAAAAAAGAAACCTGAAGAAAAGTTAACGATAATATAAACTAAGTGGTCAAAAAAACTTGACATGAACATTATTTTTAAGATCTAGAGCAAATTTTCAATTTATTTAACTCAATTTAACGTATATATTTCTTTGTTTGTCACATAGATGCAAATGATATTACAAGTCTATAGACTGAAGTAAACCCACCACTGTGAAAAAGCTTGCATTTCAAAAAGCACAAATTATAATACTTATTGTATCTACTCATTTTATATAAGTTATACAAATTGCTGCAAGATACATACGGTGATAACCCAAAAATCTGTTAACAACGCCATTTCTTGTGGTTAATAATTTTAAAATTTCATTAGCTAGTTCATTGACCCAAATCACTTACCACAAATCACAATTTTCTGCAATGACTCAGCAGAGAAGAGGAAGTTTTAAAATGTTACACTTTGTTGATAAAGCAACAACTTGTGAAGACTCTAACTGGTGGGCACAATTCTATGAAGCATGTTAAATCGATTTGTCTTGATTTCCATTATAATTGTGAGACGACAAAATGGTTCTAAAAATTACAGCATATTGTTGCACTCCATGGGGAGTATAAACTGATTTATCCATATAATTTACATTCATATGAACCATTGTCACTCAAACAAATCAGTTTTCAGTTCTCCTGAAAACATTAGAGGCAATCTTGCATGTATTATTATCATAAACATAGAGTATGGCCTTTGCAAAGTATTAAAAATTCCAATGTACCTTTCATGATGAGTTAACTATTTTACAACTTGCCAAAGTGTCAACATTTGAAGGGTGTAAAACAGCAATTCTGCCCTAATTAAATTAATTTTACCACCTGTAGCACACAAATTTTGAAGTATTTTGGCTTCCAACTAACGGAAATTGATAACACAAATATTTCACGTCTGGGTTTAAATCACTTTAATTAATCAGCTGAGATGCAGGAGCATTGCAATATAAGCTCATTCATACGTCCCTTGAGAAATATCAAACTGCTGACGTGAAATTCGGCCCGTGAAATGTACAACTTTGTCAATTTCAGCACTTTTAATTTACAACGAGAGCAAGCGAAGTGGAAGCAAGCCACAGGCATTTCTTAAATGTTAAATATTCGAACCTCTTCAGCTTCGCATGGTGGAAATTTGCTGACATTTTCGACACGATAAATTTATCTCTTCGATTTGAAAAGACTGACTTCATTCACGCGTAAGTTACTGTAATTCACGAATTATCAGCATTAACCTTTAAGCAGAACTTAGGATCATAAATGAAGCCAGCTTTTGGACTTAATAATTTATGGAAATGGTGTAACATGTTATGATAACGGCCGACACCAGTCAGAGACTTCATTCAGGAATGAACAAATTTTAAACCTCCCCATATTTTCATTGCCGAGTTGTCGACTACTTTTAAACCTCGAAACATTTGTAGTCCATATTCTCAGTTCAAAGAAAGCTAAGTAAACAAATGAGCACTTTTTCATTCATTTAGGTGTCAAGATGAACAACTCGAACAAGAAATTGCATACAAAACATTTAGCTTTATACGTCAAATCTGATCAACTCAATCGTGAATGTCTGATGCCACAAATCGTAACGAAATTATTCGCTTCGTACAATGTTTTAACCATTTGCTTAACAAATTACGAAAAAATAACCCACGGGAAAAATAAGCGTCATTGTTCAGGTTTAAGAAATTTTCTTTGCTGATGACAATTGCGGGATCAATTAATTGTTCGCGGGCAGGCCACCCTTCCTGCTAAAATGCGTATTACACTGCAATCACACGCCTTCGGTCCTCTCAAAGAGAACAGCTCACAAAATCTTCGACAAATAGAGCGTTTTCCGTTGAGATATTGTACATAAACAAAAGGTCTCTCTGACAGTTGGAAAGCATTTTAGCCCAGCCTTAAAAGGTGCCACCAAAACAAAACGACGCTTTTGAATTAAGTCATGCGATAACGCGAATCACGATGATCGGACAGCTGACATTAAAATGTTCATCAGTAGTCAAATTTCTTCGATGTAACTAGAATAAGCGAGAAATCTTACCTGATCGCGACTTTATTCTCAGCGTGAATGTTCCACTGTCGTCGTCTTGATCGAAATCCATTACCTAATACCTTGTAAAGAAGATAATTTAACAGCAGCTGAAGTTACAGTCGAAATTCTCTCTCAGTAAAGCTTGTAGTAAGGTTACTGTCACTCGCTGGAGATCAATGCATCAACATTTAGGACCACGCATTCCAAAACTGCAGAGGAATACAACAGACACAGGTATAGTTAAATCTTCGTCCTGATATTCACTCAACATGAAAAATCCCGGCTCAATAAACACCAGACAATTTGGAGCAATAAATCTCGCACGTTGAAAAGAGCAATCGATATCTGTGAGCGAGTAAGCGCCCAACCTGGTCAAACTTCGGACAACATGCAAACCGAGCTTCCACTGAAGACACGCCAACTTCCTTTGGACGACCGAGCGAAAGAAGAATACCCCGGCAACTACGCGAACATACAGCAATATTCCAAGCACTAGGTGGAGTGCCCCTAAGACACAACACATCAGCGAAGAAATATTTCCGAAATATTCGCTCATGCGGAGCAAAGACTCAAATGATCTGGACGCGGCAAAAAGAAAGACAATGGGTCAATTGTAATCGACCAATGAGATCGTTCGATGGAAAATGACAGGAATGTGTTGAATTTGTAGTCACTTTGGCATCAGAGATACCGTCAAGTGAGGCGAAACTAAACTCTTAGTAAAAACATACTTGGATGTGAAGATACTGACAACAGATAAGATATCCCAAACTTGATTCCTCCTTGGTTTTCGCGTCAGAGCCATACGAGTTAAAGGGAAAGTTAAAAGAATTACTTTAAATGAAAAATCACCCTTTTTGCTAAGTGCAAATTCAGCTGTATACACAAAGAAATATCAGTTGCAAATTAATATCTATTATATCGAGATTGGATATTACTTCAAAACCTTTGTTTGGGGATGATATTTCGTCCTGAAAGTTGTTAATCTTGTAAAAGCGTTCACGGGGGCAGTGAAGACCTGTGTAGGAGAAGTTCTGTCGATGAGCGAAAACGGAAGCGATTGTAGTGTGGGTGCAATGTTAAACACAACAAAATGGTCCCCAATTCATGCGCAATTTAAGGTGGGGTTTGTTTTTAAAGGTACTCCTTGATGAAATGGAGGCACCTTGGTTTAATTGTCCCACTAACAGTGGATCACGCAAACGAAAAGAACAATGCAAACCTATTAATTATATTCGCTCTGAAATCATTGCAACTCAAACGTTATTAACGCCTGGGATATCAAAACCTCTTCCTGCCTCACAAGGATTGTAGCTCGACTAGAATAAATATTTCTTTATATTTTCAAGGATTCTCCGCCTGTTTAGCAGTATCTCAGCTCTGTCTATTGTCTGTCATATTTACCCTAATGATAAGAGTTATTCGTTGATAATAAAGGTAAAAAGGCCAGTGGTAAAATGGACATCTTAGTCCTATTGTGGCAAGTTTGATTTTTTTGTAGAAACAGAAAGTTGCGTGCAACCCGTTGAATCGCTTAATTAGGTTAATCCTCTTCATTTGACAAAAAACCAAATTCTAAAGACCGACAGAATACAAAATAGCTACGACGTTCAGTTTATCTTCCGGGTAGCGCGCCACATGATGAAACAGAATGGCTAAGATGGTTCTCGAAAAAAAACACAAAAAAGTAACTCCCGGCAACTGGTTACTATCTGTAACACATGGATTCTCTTAACGTGCAAGTATTCCCTCATTCAATCAAATGATTGCTTCCCACATTTGGGTTTATTTTGCAGCAATTTCTTAGTTCAGTAATATGTCGATACATTTTCAGTTCAAATACAAATGCTACCTTTTTCCCGCAGGAAAATAAGGAGTACAAAATGTTAACGACTAATTCAAAGAACATTTTGCAAGCTTAAAATGCAGCGGTGATTCCGTGCTGGACAGGGCTGAACATTTTAAGCTCTATGAAATGTCAAAATGATTGACTAGGAACTATGACACTGTTACTGATTAACTGATAGCTTAGTTGGCAATGCAATAAATTGGCTTTTTGAACTTAATGTTTATCTGGTTAAGGGACTGATCTGACGGACTGACTGACGCACGGACGGACTGACTGACTGCTGACTGACTAGGTCTGACTAACGACTGACTGACTGACTGACTGACGAACAGACTGACGGACGGGCGGACTGACGGACCGACGGACTGACGGACGGATTGACGGACTGACTGACTGACTGACTGACTGGCAGGCTGACAGACTCAGACTAGGTCTGACTGACTGACGACTAACTGACTGACTGATGAACAAAAGGACGGACGGACAGAGAGAGAGACCACAGACAGACAGACAGACAGACAGACGGACTGACGGACGGACGGGCGACCGGACGAACTGACTGACTGGTCGGACTGATGACTGTCTGTCTAGCTGGCTGGCTGGCTGGCTGGCCGGCTGGTTGGCTTACTGGCTTGCTGGTATGGCTTCCTACTTGCCTACCTACATGCCGGACTGCCTGTCTTTCTTCATTCCTGTCTGTCTGCCTGCTTGCCTTCCCTCGTCCCTGCTTACCTTCCTTCGTTCCAGTTTTACCTTTGTTGTCAATTGGCCATCGAATGATTTAATCGAGATAGAAAATCAAAGAGCGACCCAAGATTCATAGCATAAACTGGCACGTTTTTGAAAACTGTCACCGGAACTGAAAGCAATGCCCCGTTGTTTATTTGTTGAACTCTAGATAATATTCCCTAATCAACAATCTGAATATGAATGCTCTGTATTTCTTAAACAATGTAAAACGATGACTTCTCTTCAGTTCTGCAAACAATTCTGTTTTCATTTGAGGGTCAGGTCATAAATAGGGTTTCGAATTTTTGCTCAGGTCATAAATAGGGTAGGGAATATCGCAGATTTTGGTCATAAATAGGGTAAGGGTTTTGGGAAGCGGGCCGCACACCCCAACCAATTTTTCTGAGGGTAGCACCTCCGGAGTACGTACGGTCTACCGACAACGCGAAATGTGAATAAAAGCTAATAATCTACAGCTCAAGTCTAGCCAATTCGCCAAACACATTCTCAAAGGAGTGTCTCTAAACTACACCCAGACGCCCACTCGTTTTTTAAGCAACATAAAAGAGGTCAAGTGAAGCTATCTAAAGAAAGGCAGCGACGTATGCCACTCGCGAATTGAATGAATCGCATGTTAAAAAAAGCCGCCTGGAAGCGCAAGCTGATTTACACACAATGAATTGCCGTCCGTTTTATTGTTAATTTTCATGGACAAAAATCTTTGCCATGTCATTTGAGTCATACTTTTGGATAAATTAACACCTTGAACGAAAAAAAAGCTCAAAGAGTTAAAATTTGTTTACTGAATTACTAAATATTTCCAGCGGATTGACAACTAGCTAATTGACTGAAATTACTTTATGTGTTTAATCGCGTAATGAACTTTGTACAGTAAACGTTAAAGCTAATTACTTCAGATTTTTCCTAGTACGTGCTTCACAAATGATGTTTTACGGACCGGATGAATTGTCATACGCAGACAATCCCGAAATTTCTAGAATTAAGAATTTTATGACTCCCAGCAATTGGAAAAAAATCTAGAATTCGTAGCCGACCTAAGCATTGAAACGTGAGGTTAGTATTTTTCAGTTTGCCCACTGAATTGTGACTTAATTTACTCCCTCGCAATTGTTAATCACCTCCTTCAGACTTCCTGTCATTTTCTGAATATTCATTGTTCTTCAAAGTTACCGACCCCTTGAAAAAGAGCATAAGTTACCTCGCGGGAAGTCGAAGGTTTACAAAAACAAATATAAAAACCGTTACGGATCGGACCGTCTTATAAACAATTGCCCTGCATTTTCGTTAAAAAACAAAATCGACTTCTATCTTTGCGTGGGAAAAAAGTAAAATCAGCTATTTACAACAATGCAGTATTCAGATAAACATCATGTTAAGGTGGTATGGTACCCTCAATATGGACCAAAAAGTTTGTTTAAATATGGTGAAGAAAGGTCAATTGTGTGCTATTGCACTCAAGAAGAGAAATTAAATTTCTAGAGTTTTACTCAAAATGGTTGCTATGGAAACCAGCCACAGCCTTTTGAAG